CCCCCCCCCACCCCCGGCATATTCAATGAACTTTCCCTAAAGACTACCTAATACAAATAAACTTGAGGAGCATCCAAGTTTTGTTCGTCACGTTTTGTTTGCTTTATTAAGAACAACGATAACTATAATTCATTATATAGATATCGATGAAATATCAGGTTTTATCATATAATTATCCACAAAATATCTATATTTCTCCTTTTCTAAAAACTGATATTTTCACATGTGAAAATAACATGTTATTTTCACATGTGAATATATCGTTACCATGCGTATTTAAGCTATTAGTTTATAAATAAAAACTTTTTGTTTATGGATAATTATATAATAAACAGAATATTACATGGGCGCTTGGAGATACGAAATTTATCTTCTCGTGTTGAAAATCTCAAGAGAGAGATCTTTTCAACACTCGAAGATAAATTTCGTATCTACGCGCGCCCATGTAATATCCTCTATTTCTCCAGTGTCGAAAATTTAATATCTTTCACCAGTGGAAGATACCATATCTTTCAAACGTGAAGATATCGCTGTTGACATAGTAACGTATTTAAAAAAAACATCTTTGAGCTTTTGCTTTATTTAAGTTTCATCGATGTCTATATAATAAACAGAACATTACATGGCCGCTTGGAATTAAGAATTTTATCTTCTCGCGTTCAATTTAGATATCACACTCGTTCGCTGCGCTCACTCGTGAGATATCTATTGAACACTTGAAGATAAAATTCGTATCTACGCGCGCCCATGTAATATCCTCTATTTATGAGGCCCTGTCAGGGTTTAATTTTGAAAGTCAACAATCTTGAAACGGTAACGCGAGATCCAGGAACTAGCGACAAACGACAGACTGCTCTAATGATTTACCGATAGTGAGGACCTGTTTTAATGAAATTAGGGGTACAGACAACAGACACAAGGATGTTCTGAAATTGCGACATAGGCAGTTGTGAAATTCAGACAGAGGACACGAATACTACCCCAAATAGGGCCTCATTTATTTAACACCCGATCACATGTTGAGGCCCCAACAAAAGAAAATCCAAAATACGCACATGGAAAATGTACAGTTAACGTAGAGATTTTCGCCGTTCTTGTGAAACGTAAAATAATCATATTGATGATATCAATTGGAATGTACCTGAAATGGATTGCATGAAAGCATAAGAATAAAATGAATTGGATGAAAGTATAGGAATAAAATGGATTGTGAAAGTGGGAGTGAGAATGCCACGTTACCTGAAATAAATTGGATAAAAATATATACAAGAATGAGAATGTATATGATCAGACCTTTGCTATATTACGTCGGCTTTCTTAAAGTTTATGAAATATGCCAGGTGGGGGGTTTATTGAATAATAGAGTGGCGGGTTGCGTTTGAAATAATTTGCCTTCAGTTTCGCATGTTCCAACCGATCAGCAAATTCAATTGCTTTTTAGATGTGCTTCTCATTGAAAAGCGTCAAGTCATATAAAAAGATATTGCGACAGTTGTGTATTCTATAAATGTTCCAATAGTTGCCCCCTCCGCATCCCATAATGTGTTGATTAAAACAATAGAATTCAATGAAAATTCAAGATGGCCGCCGTATCAATGAAAATTCAAGATGGCCGCCGTATCAATGAAAATTCAAGATGGCCGCCGTAATGGTAAAAAGGTCGATTAGATTCAATGAAGGTATAGAAATAACAATGGGCCTGAATTAATGTTTCCCACTCCTAAGAAAAGGGTTAATCATGATAAAAATTTGAGCTCTGTAAGCGATTTCCAAAACACGTTAATCAAATACTTTCAAGTTAGGTCCCGTGTCGTGCACGGCCATTACACATATTATGAGTGTCAGATTTTGAGACTGAAGAATTAACTCGTGCCAATACGTGTTATAGAACAGGTTCTGAAGAAGTTTTGAAATGTGAAAAATTTAAGTAAGGTGGCACTTACCTCGACCACCTGTTGTGTCTACTTGAAAGGAAAATTCAAAACACACACATGGAAAGTGTGCTGTTATCATGTTATGTCATGTTAGAGAAACGTGAAAAGTTCTATTGATAATATCGTATTCCTAAGAAAAAACTTTTATTTATATAGTGCTTTTCACCATAGAAACTTCGGCAAAATTATTGTCATGCACATAAAAATATTTTCTTGCCTTTTTTTTTTTTTTTTTTTTTTTTTGTTTCCCTAACGTGGAATGATCAGACACTTAAGCGAACAATAAGCTGTACGCTTTTTTTAGCCTTTTTAGCCGGTGAAAGCTCTATTGATGATAAAGTTAAAACCAGCGTATAAGAACCTAGATTTTAAGAACCTTTTAGGCAAAAATTTTCCATTAAGCTTTACGCTATATTGTTAGGTGTTTCAAGAAATAAATTGATATTATCCTTTATATATATATCTTTTCTAAACATGAAATGAATAGCAAAGGAGGGAAGGGAAAAATATATCATATCACAAAAAGTCTTTGTTCTTCTTTGCGTGACTTGGTCACCAGAAAGTGTTATTACGTATCGTGAGACATCAGTCAGTAATATATCACAGCTTATTTATCATTTATGAATTTTAGGGTAACATAACATATATAAGACCACCTCCTTAGGTGTAGTAACATATCAACCTTCGCTGACAATCAAAGCCACGGCCACTCAGAGATCGACAAGAAATCTTCAAGGTAATAACTAGTAAGTGATAGTCTTCAATACTATTCAGCTAGTAAGTTTAATATATTTTTTAGCCAACCTAATCAATTTTCTGTTTCCCTTACTGTCTTTATACCGCTAATATCTGGTCAAGCCCTTCCATTCCATGCCAACTTGTTACTCTTCTCAATATACTAGTTTTATCCCAGTCGATGTCATGCCCGCCCATTGTCTTGGCATGTTTGGACAAGGCCAATTAGTCAACAATTTGACGGTGTTTCTGGTATATAGCGATCTCCCAGTCTTTACTATGTTTATAGTAGGACACCTTTTGCATTGGTATTTGAATTGGTAGATGACAAGGCAACTTGTTAAACAAATCCAACAATTTAATATTTTAGCGATTTTAATCATATTCGTATTCTTGCTGTTGAATATTTCGTTTATCTTCCTCTTTATTACAGACACAACATGTCTCGTCTTTATGTCCTCCTATTTCTTAGTTGTATCCTGTTGGCCCATTTCGTTGAGGCTAAAAAACGGCGTAGTAAACGTAAGTTTTCAAATAGTGATAATCTATCCGTGAAAAAGCTTAATAACAAAATTGTACAAAATAGTGCAAAGTTATGCAAGTCTACGATCTACTGAGGTCTACTGAACTTACTAATTTGTGCAAATTTGTCCAATTTCTTACAAAGTTTATCACGGGTATATCCTATGCACTCTACTGGGAAACGATTACCAATTGATACTGTAGACTCATCGTACGTACCTTTCCTTACTTAAGTAGTAATGCTATTCTGATTCTTAAACTAATTTCTAATATTTTATTTTAGCTACCCTTGAGGAATTTATAGGCCGTTTTAAGAACGACATACTTTAAATATTGCAATTGGTATTCAACACAAGCAATTTTGTTCCATTCTCTGATCAAGCATCCAGCATCCATAATTCCATATATGCGGGTTGCATTAGTTACCAGTTTTTACCTTTAGAAATTACGGTATTTAATGTTATTCTTATTTTTTGCTTAGGTCAAATTGGAGGCGGAGGTGGGGGATTTCTTCCGACAGCACAGTGTAGCAATGATAATGACTGTCCAAGATCTTTTCGATGTCACCCAACACACCACCTTTGTGAACAAATTCGGGTCAGAAGATATTAATTATAATGTTAAACAGATCTCTTGTCATTGTCGTTTGAATACGATTTTCATTTTGAACTGTATACACATACAATGATAAAAGGGTAAATTTTACACCGTGAAAAGATGGAAAAACTTACTGACGTATCGGACGCTAGTCCTTCGTCGGAGTAAAAGAGAGAGGTGGTAGAAAGGAGTTTTTATATACTAAGAACAAAAGAAACCAATGAGAACAAGGTGGGCAAGGAAACGAAAGAAACAATCAAAAGACAAAAGAGTGGGTTAGTTAAAAGCAAAGCGTTCATTAATCCCATTGGGACTAAGAGTGCTAAATAGGTGAATAATAAACCGCACTTCTTTGGTATTGCGACAATCGTTGTTACCGTTAATCAAAGAAGACCGAAAACAATGAAGTCAGAAAGAGAATGGTTTGCTTGTTAGAATTGGCGGTAAACTGGTTTGTATACACATGAATGCATCTTCTTCTGTGCAACCGTAAAGCAAAGAACAAATACTCTCGGCAATGACAGGCGATCTGTAATGGGCGAACATTGCACACAATCTAAACGTTCGCATTTCAGTTGCCGCGTTTATTGAATTCAATTGTTTTTCATTTTTTTCGTAGGGTTCGACAAAACAAAAAGGACAAAAGGAAAAAAGTACTTGATAAAGAGATAAAAAGTACTTGTACTACTACTTGTACTCTAGCAGCTTCTGGAGTTCTCCGTAATTATAAAACTGTCTTGAATAATCAATAATGACCTATGAACCTGTCAATAAACCCTCGAATGAATTAAAAATGCATTAGTATTGACTTTGTGTTCCCTTTGTGTTCCCAGTGTACCCTTCCCCTGGATCTTGTTTTCTCCATATTTCGAAAAATCAGTAGTGCAATCAAACTTCAGGAAGAAAGGAAGGAAGGAAG